GTCACGCTGACGCCGCCAGTTAGGGCGGCGCCGCCGCCCGAGCTGCGGGCCCGCCCGTGGCCGGCGGAGTCCCTATCGGCCAGGCCGGCCATAATGGTGCTGAATGAGGGGCGCACTGGGGCAGGCTCCACGCCGCCCGCTCCGCCCACTCGCGCAGCGGGCGCCTCCAGGGCCTCCGCCGGGGGCGCCGCCTCTGCGCTGTCTGCGACCCCCGGCCCAGCCAGCGCCGGCGCTGCGGCTCTTGTGGACGGCCCCAGGCCCGGCGCCGGCGCCACCGCGCCCGGGGGGGCTGTGAGCGCCGCCGCCAGAGACGCCGCCTGCTGGAAGCGCTGTGCAGTCTGGCAGGGCCCACAGCGGCATGACGAGAGGTGGACGTCCGCACTGTCCAGCACGGGCGGCCCCTGCGGCTCGATTGGGGGCAGGCACGGACCCTCCGCTGCACCATCCCCTACAACGGCCAACCACCCAAGCGCCGCGGGCGGCTCCTCAACCCCCCGGCCAGGCGCCGCCGCCGCGGCGCCCGAGGCCCGCCGCAGCGTCGGTTCCGCCGACGCCGCCGCCGCTGGCCTGGGGCTTGCAGCTGCTGCAGGGCCCAGCACCCCCGCCGCTGCAGCGGCCTGGTCTACTACACTCTGCGCAGCGAGAACCGCGGTAAAGGCTGCGTCGGCCTCCTGCCGCGCCCGTCGGCGGTTGACCGCCTTCTGCTCCCCTAGGATTTTGTTCCATGCGAACGGGCCGGGCCCTGGCCTGCGGCGCGGCTCGGCAAGGCTGAGGCCCTCCTGTGAGGGTCGCGTTGTGGCTTGGAAGATGGCGGTTTCTGGGGGTTTTCCGCGGCCGCAGCCCTGCCTGCTACCTGTGTGTCTGCCAATCCTTACTTTCGATGCCTGGCCACAAGCTTTAAGTCTGGGTGTTTTTACAAACGCGAAGCAAAGGATGTGGCACACACAGGATGCAAGCGGAAATGACTCTATCTGCAGCTTGCTTGCATCAGTTGTGTTGGCGAAGTGCGCGAGGCGACACGCACTTACCACTGCCTTAAAGCCAAAATAAATTGAAAAATCCCCGGATTAAGGTCAAGTGCGCATGGGGAGAACCACAGTTGCAGTGCTTAGGCGCAAAGCCGTGTGTAGATGGACTTGAAAGTAAAAATGCGGCTGAACACACTGCGGGGGGTTTTGCCACAAAGTTGAATTGCTGGGCCAAGCCCACGTTGTAAAGCGTCCACATCAGTCTTTGATGAAGGAGGGGCTTGTAACTGCTAGCGCTGAGCATCCAGCGGCAGGCTGCAGCTTGGGTGAAGGCCCAGCACCTGAATACTCAGCCTGCATGCGCGTGGAATTGAGCAAGAGGGTTTTACTGCGTAACGGTGGAGGTGAATAAACGTTTGAGAAAAGGAAGTTATGCTCAGCGGTGCGCCGTTGCGCATTATACAGTGGCAGCAAGTTTGCAGCGCTGTGCAGCATGCCCCCTCCTTTCCCCAGCTGTTTGGTGTGCAAGGGTGCCAGGCTTTGATCCCAGTCCCACCAACTTGGGAGAGAACTCACATTTCGGGCAGCTGGATGCCAGCGGGAGGGTCACGTCTGTGATCAAGAATGCGCCGTTGCTGCCCGTTGCACTGCTGACCTTGAGGCTCACACCTGCATGGCGAGCAGCAGTGTGTTTTGCATGCTTCTGGTCACATGGTGCAGCATGCAGGTAATTTAATGCAGGAATATTTTGCTAGCACCAATAGCATTGTGACGCTTTGAAAGCTACTCCAGCGCACCAAAGTTGTGTCTACCATGCGTGTGCACAAATCAGCACACGCAAGGCTGGTGGACCACCACCACGCTCTTTCAAATCAAGGTGCGCCCCCCCCCCCTCCCCCACAATGCCCACCCTTTGCGTTGCAGGGCAGCCTGATGGTCAACGGGAAGGTGGGCAAGGGGGTGTTACCCGCGGACCTGCCATACACAAACCGGTTGGGGCTGCACAGGCGTGGCCGGGGGCGGGAGGATATATGAGTCAGGAACTGGCCGGCAAGGGCAGCTGAGCACTTCCTATGTCTTGCCGTGATGCTTGATGCTGTCAATGCGCTCTGCCCTCACAAATAGGCATCCCGCACCCAAACACTGACCTCCTCACAGCACCCTTGTACACATGTGCCGGTGTGCACATAAGCTTGTGCATCGCAAGAAGACGCACACGCGTATGCACATGCATGCACGCGCACATACATGTACAGTTGCGCGAGCTTGACAGCGGCAGCTGTGGTCGGTTGCCACCAGCAAACAAGCTAGTCGTCTCAAGGCGTCTTGCGGCGGCGCGGCGCGCGTGCCAACCACCCACCCTCTCACCATGCGCCAAGGGCCCTGGCAGGCACAGTCTGCTGCACAGAGGGGCTACCCAGAACACCAGTAGTCGCAGAGGCCAGCAGCATACGAGGCTGAGGGAAGGAGACCCTCACATTGTAGGTGACGCCAGGGCAGACCGCCTTGACAGGAGCCCCCTTGCCATCAGTCACCGTGAACTTAGTTGTGCTGATAGTGGGGCGAAGTTGGCGAGTGAGGAGGACAAAATATCAAACTAAGCCGCCAGCAAAGGCAAGGATTTGCTTGTGGATCAGGCAGGGGAATGGAGGAGGGAAGTTACACGGCAACCCGTGCAGGTGACAATGCAGCAGGCCAGGCTTCTTCTGCATGCAGGAGTGCATGCATGCGACCAGCAAAAAGCCAAGAAATCCGCGGCCAACTGACATGACTGATGGTTGGTACACACGCCTGTGCGCAAGCACACAAGCGCCCAAAAGCGCACACACGCGCGTGAGCAGGCACACTCGTGTGAGCGCACGCACGCATGTGCGCACGCACACACACACACACACACACACACACACACACACACACACACACACACACACACACACACACACACACACACACGCGCGCGCACGCGCACAACCTTGAACAGCCCAACTGCAGAAATTAGTCAGGCCCTGTACAAGCAAGTCACAAGAGAAAAAATATCTCCACAACGCGAAAGCCAGAAAGCCCTGGCACTCCCGGACTCACGGGTCCGCCTTGACCGCAAAGTGCCCCTCGTCCGGCTTGGTGGGGTGGGCTGTACACGGGTTTGGGGCCTGACAGGATGAGCGCGAGGCAGATTTAGGTGTGCAGATAGCGCCTCTGCTGGATCATGGAAAGGGGCAATTCATTGCAAGGGCACAAGCAAACGCTGAGCCTCACGGCAGCTGCACGTGTCCAGGTATGACGGCGACTGGAAGCGATGCGGCCGCCGCTTTGCTCACCTTAGGAGCGTACTCATCAGCAAACAACCACGGGTACGAGAAAGCGACTGACGGCAGAAGCAGGAGGAACGCGACGCGGAGAGCCATGTTGAAACGGCGCGTGCTCAGCGCGTGGTTGGCGCGTGGTCGGGAGCTATCGCCTGCTTTTGATCAAATTTCAATTGATTTATATACTCATTTTGGCGTGCAGCCTGCCAAACCGGCCTTCGGTGCCTGATTGCTGCGCGTCACTCGCAGCGCACGTACGAGTGACGTGGGTGATTTGGCCTGCTATTGTACTTCACAGTTTGGAGAAATGGCCAGGACCTTTACTCTAATCTCCCTTGTTTCCTTTGTGCAATGGTTCACTGCAAGTGAGGGTGGCTGCGGGGTGCGCAGCAGCGACTCGCAGATCCGCAGGCACCCGCGCAAATTTGGCTGCCAACAGGCCTGCGGGTTGTCGTTCCAGGATGCGCTGGAAAGTGCGTTATGTGTTGCTAAAAACATACAAAGGCTTTTTGACATCTGTTTTGCAGGCTTCATACTGGAGTGCATACATGCGCAAAGCTCATGATGAACAGACTTCAGGCCGCGCCAACGGCTGGGTGGTGATGGGTGCTGGCTGACCACAGACACCAGAGTACTGTGCATGCCGGGGTGCATGCATCAGTTCTGGCAGGGTGGTGCAGAGCAGGCAATCCGCCAGCACCGTGCTGTGTATACCAATGGTTGGGCCATCTACCGTGGTGCCCCGTCATGTGCTAGCGCAAAAGCACATGCTGGGAGGCTTGATAGCAGAGTACACGCCGGGTGGCTCCGCATCTCAGATGGTTTGTGGCGACCAGGGCCCAACTTGCTTTTATTGTGCAGAAAGCGACCCTGACAAATGATCCATGCAACATTCCTTAATGGTGTCCACAACTACATACGGATTTTCTGGGGCTCCACAAAGCAAGCTACTTATCCAAACCAAAGGAGCGGATGCAAGGAGTTGCCTGCTTGTGCGGGCGGGAGGGCAACGCTACGGTATTGCAAGGTTGCTCCATTGGGCGTCACCGCAGGCGACTGTCACAGTCTGATGCTGGGAGGCTTCACATGCCAAGCCAAGTACTAGACCATGAGCCTTGGCTTAGTATGATACCTCATATTGGAGGTGTGCCAATGATTGTACGGTATACCACGTGACGTGGCCGTGCCCGTTCTGTCGTGGCCAGACCAGACTGGGCAACACAAGGATGAAAGGAATGAAAGAATTGGCCTGGAGATCTTGTCGTCTCATCGTCCAGAACAGGCCCAATCATATGAACTGATGATATGAGGCTTCACTACCGTATCATAGCAGGATCAAAGTCTCATCAACGTGCTGCATTGCTCTCTGTCGCAGCCAGCGTGTACGTTGTTGCGAGCACGTCGCAAGGGCAAGCAGTGATCAACGCAGCTTTTGAACAATCGCAGCATTTGAACATTGACAACGCTCGCGAGGGCCATGCCCCAGATCAATGGCGATGGCACTGCACGTCCGCTGCTGCTGCTGCACCGCCGCTACAATGCGCCCAACCACACACGGCGGGGCGTGGAATCCTGGATGCCCCTGGTGTTTGGGGTCTGCGTGGTGAGTGATGTGTTGCCCAGGCAACGCCCTGCAGGCCAAAAGCGTAGCCCGGTGTTTTGCGTCACTCAACCCCCAACCGACCCCACCGCCCGAGCGTCATGGCATCTCGTCTCACGCCGCCAGATGCTGCTCGTGGCGACCACCTGGGTGGGCACCCACCGCACCATCAGCAACCTTGAGAGCGGCCACGCCGCGCACCCAGACATGATGCACCCTGCGGAGGGCTGGGCGGCTCGCGACGGTCACCTTGCTGCGGCAGCGCACGCCGCGGTCGCGCCTGCGGTGTCTGCTGTGGTGAGCGGCGGCGCCACCATCGCTCCCGGGCCAGGCGACGCGAACGCAGCCGTAACCAGCGGCGCCGCGCTCTCACGGGTGTTTGGCGCTCTATCCAACAGCTGGGGTGCCCACAGCACCACTGGGGGCGGAGCGGCGGGCGGCGCAGCCGCGGCCGCGGCCTTGCCGAGCCACGGCGGCGCAGCGGGGGCAGTGGGCCTGCTCGCTGCGGCGGGCGCGGACGCAGTGGCCATGGCGGGCGCGGCGCTGGCTGACAGCGAGCGCGACATAGAGCTGCGGCCGGAGCGGGTGGCGGCGGTGGTGGGGCGCGCCAAGGCGGCCGAGATGGAGCAGCTGCTGCAGCGGGGGGCGGCGGAGGGCGCGGGCGCGGAGATGCGGGTCTCGATGGACTCTGCTGAGAAGTACCAGGTGGGCGGCGGGACAGGGGGTGTCTCGTGCACACTTACGGGGCTCGTCAGCTGTTTGGCCGCACGCAGCGCCGGCCACGACGGTCAAAAGGCGCCTTTGCGCAGGTGTTGGCAGAAATCTCCCGCGCACGTTTGCTTGGCCAATACCTCGTCACTTGTGCAAGCACCGCGCCCTAGCCGGCGCAGCAAACCACCTCGTGATGCGCCCTTGTGACTGCGTTGACCACTGCAACGCGCAGGGCCTGTACGGCTCCAACGCCGGCAGCATCTTATTTGGCCCGATCAGCGGCGCCGAGTCCGCAGCCTGCCCCGCGGGCGCCCCAGACCTGCGCGGCACGCAGGCGGCGGCCGTCGTCGTGGCGGGCGCGGGCTCGGCGGCGCGGCTGGAGCGGACGATGCAGGGGCTGCTGAGGCGGTGGGGCCACACTGGGGAGGACGTGCGGGGCCTGTTTCACATCTATGTGGCAGTGGTGGGTGGCCGCGGCTGGATCGCATCCGGTGCTGGCGAGTTTTGGGTTGATGAATGTTTGCTGGCAGGTGCTCTTGGACAAAAGAGGGATGTGGGCCAGCTGCTCTCAGCTTGAGGGTGGGGGGTGGGGGCCTTTCCCAGAAGCTCCCAATGGCTTGGGGCGTGGAAGGATCTAGCCACCCGCTGCAGCAGCTGCAGCTGAACACTCTAGAAGCCGCCACCGCTCGCGCCTGCGTAGACCTCCCCTGGCCAGCCGCGCCATCATCTTGATGCGCCCCGCGCCCCCCTCCAACGCCCCCAACGCCGGCCCCGCAGGACGGCCTCGACCCCGACGTCAAGAAAGTGGCCATGCACTACGCAGTGGAGACGATGGGCGTGGTCAGGATGGTGCACCACGCCCGCAATGGCTCCGCCCCCGACCCGGACGGCGGCGCCGACCCCGCGCGCCCCTCGCACATGCTGTTCCTGCTGCGGCTCTTCCTGGAGTGCTTCTCATACCCGGCCGTCCTGCTGCTGCCCGACGGCGCGCGGCTGGCGCCGGACGCCCTCGGGTACTTCGCCGGGGCGCAGTGGCTGCTCACGAGCGACCCGACACTCTGGTGCGTCGCGGGCGCCAGCGGCCTCGCCGGCGGCGCGCGCGGCGCGGCGCGGCGCCCGGCCGACCCCGACCTGCTGCTTCGCAGCGACCGCGTCGACGGCCACGCGCGCGGCTGGATGGTGGGCATGGAAGCCGGGCGGCAGCTGCTTGTCGCGTGGCGCGCCGCATCCGGGGCCGCAAAGGGCGGGAGAGCGGCGGGCGGCGGGGACGGGGCCGCCGGGTGGCTAGAATTCCTGCGGTCGGCGGCGGTGCGCAGGGGCCGCCAGTGCATCGTCCCAGACCTCCCGCGGGTGCTGAGCGCCGCCGGCACCGACGCCGACGCTCACGGTGGCGCCGCTGCCGCGACCACGGGCGGCAGCGGCTCCGGCGAGGGTGGCGGCAGCAGTGGCAGTGGTGGAGGCAGGGGCGGTGGTGGTGGCGGCGGCGAGTCCGAAGATGATTATTGGGACGGCGACCTGTCGACCGCGTGGGACGCGGCGCTTGCCCCAGGCTCTAACAGCACCATGACCGGTCTCGCCTCGCACGAAATCGGCGGCGGCGGCGCTGCGGGCGCGGGTGACGCGGCGGCGGCGCCGGGCCCGGCGGCGGCCGGGCGTGGGGGCCGGCAGGGCGGGCAGCGGAGACGCAGCAGCAGCGTGGATTGGCTCGAGGCTGACCTGGCGTGGCTGATGGAGCCGCATTACTCGCGAGTGGTCATGCAGGTGGCCGGGAGGGGGGGTTGGACAGCAAAGCTTGCGGCAGGCGGCGTGGCCGCAGCCGCCATATACACGGCTGGTCGGGGAGCGGCCCAGTCTGCTGAGCGAGGCCCTTGGCGAGGGCCCTGCAAGCAGCGGGGTGTTGTGGGCGGCGCGCCTGGTGCTTTTCAGGCCTTTAACTTGCCGGCAGCCGCAGGCACGGCTGGCTACAAAATGACAATAGCCGCGGGTGGCGGCAGAGCTTTGCAGACCCGCAGAGGCATGGGCACATGCACAACCCTCAACATGTTTGGGCCGTTTCCATCCTCTCACAAGGCCCTCAAACCCATGCCCCTGCGTTGCACGCCGCTGCAGCGCCTGCGCGACGCACTGCCGGTGAAGCTCTCGGCCGTCCCTTCCCTCGCCGCCGGCGACCGTGCGCGCCGCCTGCGGTACGCGTCCGCCGCCGAGTACCGCGCCGACATGGACGTGCTCGGGTTGGCGCCCGGTGACGACGAGATGGCGCACGAAGAACGGTACTGCTACATGGTCCCTACGGCGCCCCTGGCGTCGGATGGGGCCTCGCCGCCGGCGACGCATGAGCATTGCCAGGTGGGTAGAGCAGCGGGGGCCCGGATGTGAAGGAAGTGAGGCCCATGAACGAATGGTGGTTTCCAGCTGCTGCTTGGGGGCGCTTGGCAGGGTGGTTGCGAGAAGCAGCGCAGAAACTTGCACGAGTGCGAGCGCTGTGCAGGGTTGTCCGCAAATCAGTTAGGGAAGCCAGGTCATACTGTGTGGCTGAATGCATGCATTGCTCAATGCTTTGGATCTCAGCCACTGTCCGCGGTCCCCCTCCTTAGACGCACCACATCACCAATACTGGTGGCAAATGGGATACTCCACCGCCAACACAACGTTGCAGGACGTCCTCCCGCCACTAGTATACAACGGCATCGTCCCCACATACAATGCAAATGGCGCCCGCGTTTTTGTTGTCCCCGCTGCCTACGACTCGGCCCTCAGCGGCGGCGGCAGCCCCCCCGCCTCCGCCCCCGCGGCTTCGTCCCGCCCTGCGACCGCGGCTTCGGGCGCCGCCGGCAAGGTCGGCGCTGGCAAAGGCGGAGGAGCGCGGCAGGGTGGCGATGCGGCGGCGGCGTTTGATGCTGAGCCCGAGATTAATGAGGAGGCGCTGGATGATTACCTTGAGGATGTCTATGGGGACTTTGACAAGTCCAAGGTTGTGGTGCTGAGCAGCCCCGCACCATCTGCAGCTTCCGCAGAGGCGGGCGAGGCCGCGGGGGAGGGTGGTGGCAGCGACATGGTGGGGGAGGACGGCGGGCAGGGGAAGCGCGCAGATGCTGGCGGGCAGGCGGCGCTGGCGCGGACGCCAGTGGGAGGGGGCGGCGAGGCTGGCGTTGCAGGCAGACGCGCAGCGCCCACGCCAGCAGTGGAGAGGCCCAGCATTGGAGGGCAGCCACCACAAGCCAAGGCGGCATCTGAACGACTCAAACAGCCGCAGCAGCAACAGCAGCAGCAACTGCAGCAGGAGCAGCAACTGCAGCAGGAGCAACAACCGCAGCAGGAGCAGCAACCGCAGCAGGAGCAGCAATCGCAGCAGGAACAGCAACCGTCGCAGGAGCAGCAACCGCAGCAGGGGCAGCAGGATCCGCAGCAGCAGCAGCCACAGCAGCAGCAGCAGCAGCAGCAGCAGCAGCAGGAGCAGCAGCAGGATCCGCAGCATTAGTCATGCGCCATACTTTGTATCACTGTTCACATCACTTGGTAGAATTGCCTGGCTTTGTAGCATTCTCCAGCAAGCACTTGCCCCGCGCTTGCCATGTTGCTAGGCGCTGCATGCGCATGCACAGCTGCTCGTGCCCCCTGTGCCTTGGTCTGTTGCACATCAAATGTGCTTTCTGCATGTGCATCAGCTCTGTAAATGCAATTTGTTGCAACAAACCTGCATCTGGCTTGTCGTGAAGGCGTGCACCTCAGGATCATGGGGGCTGGGCAGGCACACACACTGTGCAACACTAGAATGGCCTCTGTTGCCGTGCAAGATCCAAATGTGGACGCACGGGTTTGCGCACCCATTTTAGATATTGAGGGTGCTGCGTACCGAGGCTTGGTCGAGATAGGTGATGTCACATCACAAATCTGCACCACCTCACAAGCGCTACAAGCTTACTCTAAATCAATTCAGGGAGGCCTAATCAAGCCGAACGGACGGCCGAAACAATCTCACCATTACCAAAAACGTGTAGATGAAGGTGCCATAGGTACACAGGTGCCTTTATTTTCGAGAGCCAAAGCCCACGATGCACGGCACCCTTTCCCCTGAACGTGAGCAGAGTGAAGCAATCAAACATCTATAACATCCCCTCATGCTGTAGCAGCACCTACAGGTCAGGCAGCCCCTAAGGTCACCCTGGCGCAGGTTGTAGGCCGCGTCCTTCTCGGTCGCCCGCCTGCATGTTCTTGCCTGGACGTTCCCCATATATGTGTAAATTTTGATTGAGGGTCACACGGCGAGCAGCTATCGCGTTTCACCCGCTTTTAAGCACGCTTTGAGAAAGGGGCCTGGTGAGATGTACAGAACGCAGCAGTCACTGCTGGTTGGCCACACGAAGGGGTAATCAGGGTGACCTGAAAAAAAAACTGCCTTCGTGAGGTTCATGCAGGTGTGCCACCTACATAATTTCATACCGTATTGCTTTGATGTAGCAACAGCGGTTTGTCCGGCAGTTTTACACTTGACCATTTCTTGCAGGAGGCGTGCCACTTATAGAGGATCAAGTAGATGCTGTCGTCAATTAGGCTCGACATGTGTGTGCGGCTTCTCAGCTCCGCGACAGGGCACGTAGGCATGGGCGAGTGAGCAGCTAGAGGAGCGAACACATCGCTGGTCCCTTCAATTGCAGCACAGCTGTAGTGATTATTGAGAAATTGTTGAAGTGACATGAGCGACGACCAGGAGACGAGCGTGCCCACAGGCGACTTGCTGGGATGCCCCAGCCTGGTCCAAGGCACGAACGCAAGCACGGGTGCTGTGGCAGAGTTGGTACTCGATATAAATGATATCACGGTGCGCTTCCTTTTGCAACACAAACGCGTACACTCCGCAGCCGCGCAACGCGCCGCTACAGCTGCTGCTGCTGCTGCTGCTGCTGCTGCTGCTGCTGCTGCTGCTGCTGCTGCTGCTGCTGGTGCTTGCGCACACGACGGCACGAACACGTAGCGAACGCCTCCACTTGGCCACGAGGGCAAATGCCGAGCAGCGCCACGCGCAACCTGCCACGCGCACCAAATGCGCAGGCGTCCCAGCAGAAGGTGGGCGCACCTGAGTTGGTCAGTGGCGCAACCCCAGGCACGGGGGAGACCCCCGGTGATTGCAAGGTGCGAGATGCGGCGCGAACAGACAAAGCGAGCAGGCATGTGATGCAGAAGGATGGTCGGCAGTGGTGTGTGAAGTTGGCAGCGGCTCCGCCGCCAGTCGCTGCAATCGGCCCCTGAGCCTCGCGAAGCGCAAACTCAGTTTGCTGGTTGCCGTTACTTATCTGCTTCCTCAACACCCACGCGTTTGTCTCACGCAGGCCAACGGTCACAGTACAGGGGCCGACATGATCGCGCTCCACACGGGACCTGCCGCGGGCCACTTTGGGGAGCGCCAGGCGCCGCCGAAAGCGGAGGATGGCACGAGCCTTGAAGACGAGTGGGGCCGCTCCAGCGGCGGCGGCGCGAGCAGCGCCGGCGGCGGCCTCATCAAGGCCCACTTCCCCTCCTGCTCCGGCGGCGGCGACGGCAGCAACGGAGGCGGCGGCGGCGGCGACGGCGACGGCGGCGGCGAGGAGGGGGACGACGAAGCGGACGCGGCGCCGGCGCGCAGGGAGGGGCAGCCCCCCGCCAGCTGGCAAGCTGTGTGGCGGGACCTAAAAATTAAACACATGGCCGGCAGCGAAAAAGAGGCAGCGGGCGCCACCGATGCTGCCAGTGACGCCCCGACGCCGCAGGCGACGTGCCCGGCCGCGGGCTCGTGCCGGCTCGCGGCGGCGGCGCACGCCGCGCCGATGCGGTCGCCGTTTGAGGCCGCGACAGCAGAGGCCGGCCAGGCCGCCGCGGACTGGGACGCGGCGGACGGCGCAGCGCTGGTCGTCCTCCAGCCCCGCGGCCGCTGCGGCGGCGGCGCATCCCCGAGGCGGCCGGCTGCTCCTGCCGAGGCCGGCGACCCCGGAGAGGGCCCCGGCGCAGCCGCCTGCGGCGACGACGACGGCGACGCGCAGCTGGCGCCGCCGTCGCAGGGCGGCGGGTCGCTCTCGACGTCACTCTCGAGCGCGGGCGCGGCGGCGGCGGAGTGCGGCGACCGCCTGCGCATGCCGCCGTCGGCGGCGGACCTGCCTGTGAAGGAGGTCCTGGCTGAGCTCTGCGAGCTGCTCTCAAAGGGCAACCCCTACCCGCGCAAAAACGCCAGCCCCGCCCGCCGCCGCAGCAGCAGCAGCGGGGCCGCGCGCGCGGCCGCGCGTCGGCCCGGCGGCGCGGAGCGCGAGCAGCAGGGCGGGCGGCGCGCGAGCGGCGAGGGCGACAACGACCGGGACTTCAAGCTCGGGCGGCGGCGCAGCACGGTGGAGACAAAGGACGAGATCTTGACTCACCTGCGGCTGGTCAACGCGGCGCTGGCCGGTCAACGCCGCCGCTCCAGCGCGTGCGGCAGCAGCGGCGGCGCCGCGGCGGGGCCTGTGGACGCGGGGAAGGCGGGGGCTGCCGAGGAGGAGCAGGCGCGGCGCGAGGGGTCGGGGCCGGCCGAGGTAGAGAGTGCGAGCCGGCGGGGGACGGCCGAGAGGGGGCAAAGCAGCAATGGGAGAGAGGTGCCCGCTTTTGCTCAGCTGGGAGCGCGTCATGCGGAGAGAGAGACTCAGCCTCAGCAGCAGCAGCAGCAAAGGCGCTCATCTGCAGCGTCCGTTTACGAGCGGCTGCTGCTGGCCAGCCAATCGGGCGGCGGCAGCGGCGGCGGCGGCGGCAGCGGCAGCGGCGGCGGATCCCCGCAGCAGGCGCGGGGGCTGTCGCGCTCCTTCAGAGGCAGCGGGTTTGGCGGCGCGGCCAGCCTAAATGGAGGTGGTGCAGAGCCGCGCCCCGCGGCAGGTGCCAGCACAGCGTCTGTCAGCCTGGCGGCCCTGCTGCAGCAGGTGCGAGGGGACACGCAGCAGCAGCAGCAGCAGCAGCAGCAGCAGCAGCAGCAGCAGCAGCAGCAGCAGGAGCGCAAGCCGCGCCCGCAGCCGCTGCAGCACACGACGTCTCACGTCGACGCGGCGGAGTGGCACGAGTGCGTGCACTGCGGCGCCGTCTCCCCCGCGTCGAAAGTCAAGCTGACTCCCAGCGCCGCCACCGCAGCGGCCGCCGCGGCAGCTGCGACCGGCCTCGGCGTGCGACCTGCGGGAGCAGCGGGGGGCGAGGACGGGTCAACGACCAAGCAGGGTGCACTCTCTACGCACCTCAACCTCGCAGCCCTGATGGCGGGCACGCCCTCGCCTGGAGTGGCCCCGTCATCTGCTGCGCCAGCGGTGGCGACGCGGCTCGACCTCGGGGCTCTGCTGAGAGGCGGCGCTGGCGGCGGCGGGGGCGGCGGGGGCGCGTTTGCGGACGCGCCGGCGATGCCGGCGTTTGCCTCAAGGCTCAACCTCGGGGCGCTGATGGGCGCCGGGGTGGGCCCCGCCGCCGCTGCTGGCAGCTGCAGCAGCGCCCCGGCGACCCCCGGCGGTCGCGGCGCCCCTGCCGCGCCCCAGGCCGGGCCGGGCCGCGGCGCGCACCGCAGCAGCAGCGCCGGGCGGACGCCGCGGCGGGACCCGCCGCTGACGCCGGAGCAGCAGCGGCGCGCGCGGGAGAAGGAGCAGCAGGAGAGGCGCGTTGCCAGCCGGCGGGCAGCCGTGCTGCCGCCGGCCCCCAGCAGCGGTTCGCCGGCCGCCGCCGGCACGCCCCCCCGCGGTTCGGCCCCCAGCAGTTCGTCGCCGTCGCGCCGCAGCCTCCTGGCCGCAAGCAGCAGCTCGTCTCAGCAAGGCCGAGGGTTTGGCAGCGGCGCGGCCGTGGTGGGTGAGGAGCAGCAGCAGCAGCAGCAGCAGCAGCAGCAGCAGTTGGCCGGGGGCGGCAAGCGTGCGTGGCGGCCGGGCGGCACGGGGCACGTGGACAGGGAGAGGAGCCAGAAGCTGGAGGCCTTTCTGGAGGCCCTCGACAGGCGCGCCGGCGCCGGCGGCCGTGAGGGCGGCGGCGGCGGCGGCGGAGGCCGCCCCTCTCGCGCCCCTGAGGGCGAGCGAGAAGGGGAGGCTGCAGCCGCCGACGCGCCGGCTGCGGCCGCGCCGCCGCGCTCGCAGGGTGCGGCCAAGGGTGCGGGCGCAGGCCGGGAGCCGGCAGCAGCGGCGGCGGTGGGGACCCCCGGGCGCTCGCCCAAGAAGCTGCCGGCCTGCATAGCGGCCCCGTTGCTGGCGGCGGCCACCCGCAAGGAGCAGCAGCGGATGGTCCAGGAGCACATGCAGGAGCTGCTGAGGCGGCAGGCGGAGCTGCGCAAGCGCTTCAACCCGGGCCAACCGCAGCAGCAGAAGCCGGCCGCGGCGAGCAAAGGCGCGCAGCAAAGGGCGGCGGGCGCCGGGACAGCGGAGGGCGCGCCGGGCTGTGCCACAGGGGGGCTGCAGGGCCAGCCGCAGACGCTGCAGCAGCAGCTGCAGTTGATGGAGGCGCTGCTGCTGCAGCGGCAGCTGCAGCACGCCGCCGACGAGGAGCGGCGCGGGGCTGCTGCCAGTGCTGCCGCTGCCGCCGCCGCGGCCCCCCGCAGCCAGCCGGCGTCGCCAAAGCGCCCCGCCCCCGCCGCTGCACGCGGCGGCGGCGGCGGCAGCGCAGCGGCGGCGCTGCCCCATGACTCGTCGGTCGCCTCAATGGTGGCAGCCTTTGAGGCGCTCGCCGGCGCCGGCCCCGCCGCCGGCCCCGCCGCCGCCGCAGACGCCGCAGACGCCGCGGCGGGCGGCGGCGGCGCGACGGCAGGCAGCGGGAGTGGCGGGGAGGAGGATTTTGAGCTGCCCCTGTGGCCCGATGCGAGGGACACGCTGATGTCAGCGATGGACGCGAAGCTGGCGCTGCTGCAGGAGCGCGAGGCCCAGCTCGAGGCCGAGCTGTCCAGCCTGTCGGCGCCCCCCAGCCACGCCAACAGCGGCGGCGGCGCGCCCCTCCGCCCGGGGGCGACCGCGGCGCCGCCGGGGGCCGGCACGCGGCGCGGGGCGCGCGGCAGCAGGGCGGCGAGTTTGGCGGGGTCGTTGGCGGGCGCGAGCGCGCTCCACGATTCGCCGGCGATGGCGGCGCTGCGGCAGCAGCTGCTGTCGGTTGTCGCGCGGTCGGGCGCCGCGGCGGCTGCTGGGCTGCCGGCGGCGGCGAGCGGGCACAGCAGGGCGGGGCGGCCAAAGCCGTCGGCGGCTGGGTCTGAGGTGGCGAGCGGCACCGTGTTTGACAGGTGGGCCTTCAGATGGAGGGAGCCATTGCTTGCGCGGGGCTTTGGCGGCCGGGGGGAGGAGGGGCTCAGGGAGACAGCAGTAGCGCCGCCGCGGGAAAGGTGGTGCGCATCGACAAGCGCGACTGGGCTGCGTCCCATCCCGCAGCCCGACCACTCAAGTGTGTAGCGCGCATCAGCCACCCACTCTTGTCGGGTCCAACAACGTGGCAAGCCCCGTCACTCCTCAGCCCCGACCACTCATCCACCCGACCACCCACTACGCCCCGGCCCGCCCACCCCACCAGGCTGCATGCAGGAGACCAGTGGGCGCCGCGCAGCCGTCACAGCCGCGCCAGCCTCGCCAGCACCGCGGGCGCCGCCGCCCCCGGCCCCGTCGACGCAGCCATCGCCGCCGCAGAGGCCGCCCTTTCGGCGCAGCTCCAGCAGGGCGCCCGCACGCGCAGCCTCGGTCGCAAGAACGGCTCCCGCCGCTCGCGCTCCCGCACCAGCGGCGACGACGACGGCGGCGCCGGCGGCAGTCCCGGCGCGCCCGCCGCGGACGCGCCGCTGCAGGACGCGGGCGCGGCGCCGGGGTACTGGCGGTCGGCCGGCGCGATCGACAGCCACAAGATAGCGGCCCTGCTGCAGGCGACGCGCGCTGAGCTGGCGACGCTCGCGCCGGGCGGGGGCGGGGCCGCCGCCAAGTGCCTGGGCCCCGTGCAGCAGCGGCTGTTGGCGAAGCTGCAGGCGGAGGAGCGGTGGCTTGCGGCACAGCAGCAGCAGCAGCAGCAGGCCGCCGCGGTCGCGGCGGCTCAGGCGCAGCTCGCGGCGGCGGCCGCGCGCCGCTCGCGCCGCGCCAGCGCGGAGGTGGCGGCGGCGCTCTCGCAGCAGGGCGGCGCGGCGTCGCCGTTTCACGCGGCGGCGGCGCGGCTGGGGCTGGCGCCGCTCGCGACGCCGGTGCGGGCGGTCCCTGAGGACGAAGAGCTTGACCACGCCCCCTCTGGCGGCTCAGCCGAGGACAGCGGCGTCGCCAGCGGCGGCGGCGGCGGCGGCGGCGGCGCATCCCCCGGCGACCGGCAGGCCCAGTCCGACGCGCGCGCGGCCGCCGCCTGGCTGTCGCAGCCGCGCCCCTCCGCGC